AGACAGACAGACAGACAGACAGACAGACAGACAGACAGATAGATAGACAGATAGATAGACAGACAGACAGACAGACAAATAGATAGACAGACAAATAGATAGACAGACAGATAGATAGATTAGGGCTGAAAGGCCTCAGTGAGAACAGTGCATTATTTACACTATTTTAATAAGTTCTTAAAGACTGACTGCAGAACACAACTGAAACATCTTTGACATTTAAATGTCAGAAGTTAAAGCCACCAGTACCTCCTGTTCACCCTCTTTCACCGCAGTAAAACTGGGTCAAAAAATTTGAAGTCCACCGTAACTTAAAACAAATTTATTCTCAATTCTTTGCACACCATCCTGAAAACCTAGAGGTGTATCACAAGTGTCATCTTGACCTCATAACAAAAAAAGTCAAACGCAACAATTTAATTAACAATCAGCACCAAAACTATTCAAGGAATCAATAGATTTGCTTCTTTTTTGTTGCAGGAAATTGATTGTGGTCAGGCTGAAGCATGGGTTAAAGGTAAAAAGGAAATTGTTGCTGTAGCTACATGTAGTGAAGGGAAAACGTTTAACGTTTATGATTCAGAAAACATGTTTTTATATTTCTTGTTTAGATCTTCTGCCACCTGAAGAGGGAAGCCGATTCGATGTCCCTAAAATATACACGTCAAAAGAATATGAAATCAAACGCTCCTCCGTTCATCCAATCAGTGTCTCCACATCGCCTCGTACAGCCCAGAAATCAACTCAGTGCAGTGAAGTAAAGGCAGATTGTAAGCAAAACATCACTCAGCCGTTCAAGGTAAATCCTTGGTCTGTCATAGTTAGAAAAATTAAAACTCACAAAATTAATGTGCGTATTTCTTGGTTGATCACTAAGGGACAACATCGCATGTCATTTTGGTCCTAATTAAGGATTGTTTGAGAACTACCTGTACACTATGTCAGCATCAAAACCTAGTTCAGTTCGCCTCGACTTTCGGGGCTCAGAGAAATGATCATAAAAGAAGCTCTGAACGTTGTAGACTTTAGTAGAAGGTCATAGGAAACTGCTACTCACAACAAAGGAAATTGCCACTCAAGCGAACACATACAAGCACAACTGTAGCACTTAGCGTCACCACAGAGTGGCACTATAACCCAATAAATACTTACTCCTGTTGATGATTTGTTGATCAACCTTG